TATAATGACGTCATCCGCCCCCAGACGTTTTCGTAGATCCGATTCGGGGGTGTGACATCTAACCCCTTGGGGTCCTTCCTAACATCAGCCTCCACCCTCTTGTGCCTCCAACTCGAAACCCTCACACCCTAGATTAAATCTGGAGCCTTACTGTGTGTTTTGAGTGCGTTTTGGAGGAAGGAGAAGTTCAAACTTGTTGATTGTAGAAGCTCAAGCTTATATATCAGAGCCTACATTGGCTTTCTTAACTCCAGAAGGTATAAAGCTTAAATCTTGATGAAGCATTTGTTAGATCTAGCTAGTTTTGGGTTTTATGGGCTTTTTGGTTACTTTTCGCATAAAATTTAGATCTTGAAAGTCTGTAACCTTGTTTTGGATAAAGTTGGAAACTTTATCCATCTAAACATCACATGGATTCAGGTCTGAAGGCTAGAGACGTGGACTTAATGGATAAAGTTGAGAAAGAGGTGTTTTTCGTCCCTTTAAGACTTAAAGACTATATCTTGGTTGTTTGGACCATCCTAATGGATAAAGTTTGAAACTTTATCCATTATGAAGCTATTAGGAGTCATAAAAATGTGATCTAGGTCCCTTTCTTCCCTCCATGCACGAGTCATGATGCTTTAGTATGTGTATTAAGTTAGGATTTTGGTGTATGGACTCCTTCTAGCCATCAAAAGCCATAAAGTTGGAAACTTTATAACTTAGAATGTTATTTGGGACTAGATTTAAGTTTTGGACTTGAGATCCTAATGAAATAAGCACTTAACGAAGGTAAATGGAATTAGTCGATTATGTTAGGTGTACTTGGTAGTACGTTGAGAATACCAGGATGGAGCCCCGTAATCAGGAAGGGTTCTACTACACTGAGCGTAGTCACTGAATACGCTAGGTGCACTTAGTCTGTGTTGACCTCCTTTGACATTTTGACTTTTTGATTTTGACCAAGTTTGACCTAAAGGTATTTTAGGTAATTTGAATAATAGTTTGAGATTTGGGTCCCTGTTAATTGTATAAGTGATCGGTAGCAATAACTTTTGGAGCAGTGATCGGTGTAACTATTCTTTCGAACTGTAAGGTGAGTCTCCTCACTGTACTTATGGGTTGAAGGCACCGATTTCGGCCCATTGGATTTTGTTGTAGGATAGTAGTGGTCTTTGTGACATTGACTGATATGTTTGTATGTGCTTACTGTCTTTGTGACTATTACTGGTATGATTGTATGTTATATGTATAGAGTCAATCTGGGTTAGGAGTCATTATGGACTCAGGGTTGATATAGACTCGGGGTTGATACGGTCCAGACACAGCTACATGTTGTTACATGGAGTCATTATTGACTCGGGGTTGATATGGACCTGAGGGTTGATATAGACCCGACACAGCAACGTGTTGTTATATCTATATATGTGTGTTGTATGTGGTACTTTGGGGAAGTCAATAAGCTTTGCGCTTATAATTTATGTTTATGGTTTTAGTTACTTCCGCTATCGAAAGGAAGGGCCCGACTTGATCGCACTACATCCCCTGGAGTTTTATTCCACACTGAATGTTTACAAATTACTCTGATGTTTTGAGAATAATTTGACTCAAATCGTTTTCTAGAACAATGAATGATTGGATTTAACTTATTTAAAATGAAATTTTTTTTCCTTGTTATTTTTGGGACATTACATTGAGTAGCGAGTATTGAGACCATGGTTAGCTTAATAGCTTGCAACATGGGTTAATTATCTTGGACAATGCAGGTAGTGGTTGATCTGTTGATTGGCTACAGGGTTCAGTGTATGTATTTTCATATCGGATTCATTCAACAATATATGAGATCTTTGGGTTTAGTTTTTCGGTTCATTTCCGATCGATTGCTCATTCTGCTCCTCGTCAGCATCTACAGTTTGTTTGAAGGTTTTGAGCAGTAGAAGTTAAAGGCACATTTGGTGTGTCAACCCCCCTATTAGAGTTTTTTAGTCGTCTACCTAATTTTTTGGGTGTGTACCCTTGGTTGTTTGGTTTTAAGATCTTTATTTCTAGCAGGTTCAGATTTGGTGGTTGTATGTGAACAGTGAATGTTTGGATGCTACAACGACTTTATTCGACTTTTCAGGTGTGACTATGGGTCTACGTAGAGTTCAGTTTGGGATGTCATATCTACATGGTTGGAAATTAGGGACAACCCGATAAGGGTTTCGGCAGCACTTTGAGTGACTTTGGAATTTTCCTCCGAGTTTGGAAAGTTTATTGGATTATTTGCACATAGGAGGGATCTGCTTAGTTTATTTAAGGTTGGGATTTTGTTTCATTTGTTAGGAAAAGGTTTCTGTTAATGGATATGGTTCACCAATTAGTTGGATCCAATTCTAGTTCACCTTTTAGGTAAGGTTGTGATGAAGAAGGAGCACAGTTGACCTGAGAAGCGTTGTATGTTTATGTGGGAAGCATGAAATTTTGACAGTTCAACGAATTTTTTCATGAGGGTGTAATTTAAGCAGGGGAGAGTTGTAACACCCATTTTCCCGATTTGATCAGTTGAAGGCTTAAAGATGTCAAAGATAAGGTTTTGTGGAAAAACCTTATGTCACGGCGCCAGTAGGTTGCTGACCATGGCATGGCCACATCATCAAAATGAAGAGCGCATCTAAACATTGACCACGACGTGGTCAAGTATTCACCACGACCTGGAGACGGAAGCTTCCTAAACCCTAGATTTTAGGCTTTGGTCCCTATTTAAGCAACATGTTGGTTAGAGTTTCACCTCATTTCAGCCTCCCTCTCCCCAAAAGCAAACCCTAATCCCTCTTTGAGTGTTTAGTGAGAATCTTGGCATTTTGGTGGAAAGATCAAGGTGTTGTGGTACAAGCAAGTTAGATCCAATGATTGTGCAACTCATTATTCAGTCCTAGACCTTGGTAGGCACTCAAGACTCTACCTGTATGTTTCATTTCCTTAGGATCTAAAAAATTAGCAAGTTTCCTAGTGTTTTGAAACTCTTGAAAGGTTGGAATTTATAAAGTTGGCAACGTTATCATTTTCTGGGGTCTCTAGTGCATCATATGTTTCAAATATGAAGTGAATCACTTGTTTGATGCCATGCATGAAGGTTTGACTCTGTTTTCTCCATTTTTGACCTAAGTTTGGGGAAGGACATGTATGTCCATAAAGTTATGATTTTTATGGTTCTTCATGATGAAACGAAACTTTCTGGAAAGTACTAGAAATGGTCTTAAAGAATTAGGCTCTTAATGAAGAAAAAGCTTTTTGACTGAAACCATAGCATAACTAAAGAAGTCCCAAAATGTGGTTGTGCGATGCAATGCATCTATTTTGTCGGGACTTGGCCATAGCGCAGCCAAGGTCTCGCTACGACATGGTGGTCGTTGACTCCTATTGATTTTTACAAGTTTGACTTTTAGTCAAACCTTGGTAGAATTGAGTCTTTAGCTAAGGACTAGTTTTGATTTCGCTTTAGGTGGCTTATGTTAGTTGTTTCTGTTGCTCAAGTTGCGGTTGAGCTTCTGCTATTTAGTTCAGGTGAGTTTTCTCACTGTGTTACATATATCATGTGTTGTATGTGAGTTGTTGATAGCTCAGGGATGCTGATAACCTAATTTGATGTATCTGTGATGCATATAGCTCGGGGCTACCGATAACCCAATTTACTGCATGTGAGCTACTGATAGCTCAGGGTTGTTGATAACCCAAATTAGTTTATTTGAGTTGTTGATGACTCAACAATGTTGATAGTCCATAGTGTTATGGATAACCTATAGCTATTATATATGTTTTGTTGTGTTGTGATGTATGTGATACTTTGAGGAACTCACTAAGTTTCGTGCTTATAGTTATAGATAAAAATGTTTTTCATGTACTTGAATAGTTTGTAAGGATGTGAAGGCATGACTGTACACACATCATCTATTTCAACATAGGAGATTCCGTGAAACTTTCGTTATCACTCTGCTTTATGGATTTCAATTTAAGAACAAATTGTTTTACTTTAAATGTATCTTTATGAAAATGAATCTTTATGTTAGTTTAAAAATGAAAAATATATTCTAAAAATTGGGAAGTTACACCCACATACATTCTTATAAGTTAAGATAATCTGCTTTCATGATCTTAGTAAATACTGAATTACAATAAATTAGTTTATTTCTGCCAAACACAGCCTAAACATGGCAACTCATATCATATAACGTGGCAAATAATATGTTGCCAAAGGAGAGTGCAAAATGTAGTTTATGTCTTTTTTTTCTTTTTCACCTGGAATGCCTAACAAACAATCAGGAAAATACCAATACACATATTCTAAAGGTGTGTTCGACAAACAATTTTTGGAAGCTTGTATCTTTTAACTTTTAAGAAAAAACTCAATAATAAATGAAAAACTTTGTTCGTGACAGTAGGAACTTATTGCTTTAGGTTAAACAATAAAGTCAACTTCAAAAGCTAGTGGTGTGCCTAATAAAAAGATCTTTTATGTTTTTTCAAATTCATTTAATTATGTTTTAAAAAAATTATGTCTCTATTTTATATGTTAAAATGATATCGTAATTTTATATATTTTAAAAAATTCTAACAATTTTTATCGAACGTTAATTTACTCTAATAAATAAAGGTTTTTTTACTACATGACATACTCTCATTCAATTTGTCAAATATTGTTATTTTGAATTAATTTTTTTCCACATGTCATTTTATAAGTTTTTTTTTTATTTTAATAAATTCCACATAATATTTTAATGTAATAATTATAATAAAATATAGTAACAAATGAATATTAATTTCATTAATTGACTTACATTCGTATTTCAAAATCCTAAATTAAAACTTATTAGTTTATTTTGTTTATTTATTTTAATTTAAAATAAAAATCAATTTTAATAATTCATTATTTTTTTATTTTCTTATAAATCTAAAGTTTTTACATATTTACACTTTTATATTTTTATTTTTTTTTATTAAAACATGTAAAGATAACAAGCTACCAACTCTCTTGACTGCTTCCGACTAATTTGAGAACATTCCATAGTGGCTGTTTGAAAGACTTTCATTGAATTTCAACTGGGTTGGCGACCCTAAGTATTCAAGCTTTATCAGCTTATTCCAACTTTCTTTAATTTTCTACACGCAAAAATCATATATGTAGAACTGACTTTACCCTTCTACATAATCCAGAACCCCACTAACTAAAAACGAAACGAAAATTCCATCCTCTCCTCTTCGTTTTCACGTGAAACAGGTATGTATCCGATCTGAATTTTTTTCACTTTTATACTGTTTTTAACGGAATTGAAGTTATTACGTTTGTGGTAATATAGATTTTTTGTTAAAATTTAATGCTTTGATTCGGCCACGTTGATAATAAAATCATCGGAGCCAAAAAAAAACGAACTTGATTTGCTTTTTTGTTTTAAAGTCTTACGAACTTTAGAGGCTTAAGAAACTTAGGAATTATTGTTTACTGAATCTCATCACGTTCTTCAGTAAGTTTATTGCTATTAATTCGGTTCTTCATTTATTTCGTTGTTTAAATTTTAACAAACGCATGAATTTTCTATCCAGAACTGATTGTTTAGTATGAGAATTGAAATCGAACTTCAAACATCTCAATTGCTTATTCGATTATCAACTTGATGCTTCATTTTCACAGATTTTCAAAACTAAAATATTTGTTTAGGTGCTAACAAAATTGCGTTTTTCATTTGAACACGTAGTAACCTCAAAGGAAATTTCAGTTCTTGTACTTTATTGGAATATAGATTTTATCCTTTTTAATTTTTAAAATTTTCTTTTTTGTACTTGCATGAATCATACGCCACAGTGGGCCCACAACTTTTGAAAATGGGTATAGTACTATAGTTATTAATTATGATCAAGATTTAAGAATAGAGTGGAGTGGCCGTTGTTCGACTTTTTTATTCTTCTCTCCACTTTGAATTATATGCATCATAAAAACTGCATCAAAAGATATTCAGTGGGAAGGGATGAATTTTGATAGGTTGTAGCTTAAGAAAATAAAATTAAAAGGAGAGAAAAAAAAATATGACACCACATTTCGGTTGGTAAGAATGTACTCCATCTTGAACAAAAGAAAGTGAATGCCACATCATCACTCACTGTGGCTTTAAAAATCATGGACCCCTTAACAATAAGGTTGTCAATATCTAGATTATATATAAGATGGTCTTGTGTTATGAAAAATCAAAATCATGGTCGGAAGATCAGATCATGATCGAAAGATCGTATCAAAATGTTACGTTCTTCAAATTTGCTTTCAAGGTCTTGTTTGTGTAGTACCTATTGAAACTTGACATTGATTAAGACATAATTGGTAGAGTTAACTTAAACTGTTTATGCATGAATCATAATTCTTGATGCTGCAAATAGTAAAAGCTAGGAAGAAAACATCTTAAGCAAAAAAGAAAAGAAAAAATATTATTGTGACTGTATACAATTTAAAAGATCAGATCACACTGAAAATAATATGACTGTCAAGATATTTTACATAATTCGAAATGAAAATTTGTGTAAAAAATTATATAGTTATTTTGCTTTAGCTACGAAATATTATTGCTTTCTTCTATGAAATGTTTTCGTAGTTTAATTGAAATTTTCTTGTAATAGATGTTCTATAAGACTTCTTGCGACTTACAATAATCATCTTTGAGTTGAATGGACGGATTTTTGAAGCATGACTATATGATAAAGTACTAAAGAAGTTGAGAGTGTTAAGATTTGAAGACCCTATTTAGGAGCATAAAATCGTAGTATAAATCTTGGATCAGATAGACCCTAATAAGATCGTGATTGTTTTATTCTTGTATGATCTTAAGATTGTAAGATCAAGATCAGAATCTTAACAACTACCTTTCAAAAAACAACATATGAGATGCTCTTAGTGAATTAGTTCACTTTTTCTTTGTTTTTTCATTAATAAATGAGAAATTAAATATTCTTCTACTTTTTCTTCCTACATATCATTAATCATCATATCCAATTAAATGGTGATATGTGTAACATTTAATGTTCATTTAATGAAATTTAAAGATATTTTAAGATAGTAATATGACACATGTTATTATTTAAATGGGTAGAAAGATTTGTAGGAATAAAAGGTAGGAGGATATTTAATTTCTCTTAATGAAAATATATCTTATGTAAATCACAATGAATATTGGGGTTACCGGCTATCAAATAGATGTGTAAACATACCTAAGTAATTGAATTTAGGGATAATGACTTGAAAGGGTAACGAACTTTCGACTTTTGTCACATTTAGTCACTAAACTTTTTTTTGTTATCTATTTGCCATTGAACTATTGAAACTGTTCACATTTTACCCTTATGACCGGCTGTTGCCGGTCATAAGGGTAAAATGTGAACAGTTTCAATAGTTCAATTGCAAATAGATAACGAAAAAAAAGTTTAGTGACTAAATATGAACAAAATCGAAAGTTCGTTTCCCTCTAAAAAGTTCAATGACTAAATGTGAACAAACTTTCTCTTGTATTATGTTTTAGCAAATTATTTATTTTTGTTAAATTGTAGCAACATTTGTTGATGAAGAAATCTATGAAATTATAAAATAAAAAATATAAAAAATATTAAAAAAAAAAAACTGAAAATATATGTAAAAAAAAACTAAAAACTAAAACCGAAATAAAAAACCAATGGTTTGACATTTTCCAAAATAAAAAATCAAAATTTCCAATCTGATTTTGGTTTTACAAAAAAATAAATCATTCTCACTGATGTGAATTATGACCATTAGTTTGGCATGCAGAATGTGTGACATCCAATGAATATGTAGTTACAACATCGTCTGAACTCGTAATTCATAGTAAGGGGTTAGAGTATCATCGCATGAATACGTAGTTACAACATCGCCTAAACTCGTAATTCATCACCTACAGGTTATGGGCCTTCTGGTGTTTCCACTGGGTTGTCTAGAATAGTCCGTGGTCGTCATCTATACTCTGGTAGATAACTACATCGCCACATTTTCGGTTAAGGTTATGGTATCTCCTTTCATCCTACATCATATATTCATCATCATCTATTTACCTAATTATCATCACCTTTCTATCATCACCTATCTCTCATTATTTTATTTCATCACACACCAACTATTTCATCTACCCATGTTTCATCTGCAACATATTTGTAGATTTAAAATAAATATACCGTTTAAATCTTTTAAAACATGTATAAAATCGTTCATCCAGCATAGACAACAAGTATTCAAATAATATGCACACATAGCACGTAATTTATATAAAATACTTCATATCTATGTGTAAGATGAAAATAACTATATATACCATAAAAATCCCATAAATGCTTCCTAACTTCGAACCCCAAGGTTTACTCTACTAAAGCTTCATATTCTCGGCTCTCTGGACCTAGAAGGGTCCAGATCTATCACACCAAAAAGCTCAAGATAGCTCTTCCTTTCACTCTACACACTCAAGCTCGCTAGGGTTCTCACTTATAGGAAAGGTAGTCGCAATTGAAGGCCATGAGTGCCTTTAAATATGGCTCGGGCCCAAAGATTTAGGGTTTCTGCCAACAACGCGGACTCGTCGAGTCGCCTCACCAACTCGTCGAGTCCATTCATTAATCCGAGTCATCAGTCGCAACCTTACTCGACGAGTTGAGGCGTAAACTCGTCGAGTCTCTCTTCTTAACTCAAAAGAAAAATACTTAAATTACGATATCTGGAAATCCGGATGTTACATTTTGTTTTTTTATTTCATAGATTTCTTCATCAACAAATGTTGCTACAATTAAACAAAAATAAATAATTTGCCAAAACATAATACAATAGGAAGTTTGTTCACATTTACTCATTGAACTTTTTAGAGGGAAATGAACTTTCGATTTTGTTCACATTTAGTCACTAAACTTTTTTTCGTTATCTATTTGCCACTAAACTATTGAAACTGTTCACATTTTACCCTTATGACCGGTAACAGCCGGTCATAAGGGTAAAATATGAGCAGTTTCAATAGTTCAATGGCAAATAGATAACAAAAAAAAGTTTAATGACTAAATATGACAGAAGTCGAAAGTTCGTTACCCTTTCAAGTCATTATCCCTTGAATTTATTTTAAGTCAACGAACCTATAATTTCATGTTTTGGGAATCCTATAGATGTCTTTATTTTCTAATAGTTTTATTAATATTTCCTTTATTACTAAAACCAAATGTTTTGGCCTTTGATATCCTAAGCTTTTAATCGTATCTTTAATTGTCTAGTTTGAAATAAAGTTAGACAAACTAAATGTTCTTTCTTTTTCTTCTTCTAAACTACAACAAAACTTTGTTATTTCATGTATCCAATAAGGGGCAATCCTACAATCTTAAGGGCATAAAAGAATGGTGTCTTTAGATCAAATATTATTTGGTTTTTTGATTTCTTATATATATATATATATATATATATATATATATATATATAAGTCCAAAGTTTACTTTTCATCATTACTAACAAATTTATGTACTTCAGATCTAACATAAGATGTACAAAACATCACTCCTGATTGCTTCAATCACATTTTTACTACTTGTATCAAGCTCAAATGGGGATGCGAGAACCCAAGTCATCAAGTTGTTTTGTGATGAACAAATCCATGAGGATGACACATACTTCGTCCCAAATTATGTCCAAGCAATGGAAATAGTTAGCACCCAAATGCGAACATCACATAACGCAACAGTAGAAGTAGGCACGGGATCCAACACAAATTACGTACTCTTCCAATGCTACGATGATCTTTCTTCACAAGATTGTGTGTTATGTTATGCGGAAACTCGTACTGTTTTTCCAAGTTGCTATCCACGTAATGGGGCTCGAATTTATCTCGACGGTTGTTTTATGCGGCTTCTAAATTATAGCTTTTATGAAGAGTATACGGGATCTTATGACACAATTGTTTGTGGGAATATAACGAGGGAGAGTATAGAGTTTCAAAATTCGACGAAACAGGCAGTATTGAATGTGGTAGCAGATGCATTGAGTAATGATATGTATTTTGGTAGAGGAGAGGTGGTGGCAACGAGTGGTAATAAGTCAGTTTATGTGATGGCAAAATGTTGGACGACTTTAAGTCTAGGGGATTGTAGGAAGTGTTTGGAGAATGCATCTGAGGTCATATCAAAATGTTTTCCATGGTCAGAGGGTAGGGCGTTGAATACGGGGTGTTTTATGAGGTATTCCAATACGGATTTTCTAAATCCTCTACCATTGACAAGTGGCTCGAAAAGTAAAGGTAAAAAGATTGGTATTGAATTGTTTTTTATACGATTACTTAATTATGATTTATATGTAAGAGGTGGTCAATGGCTCAATGGAATTATCTCTTGACTGCAATGTTATCATGCTCATTAATGGATGGTTTATATACCAACCGAATATCTATTAAGAGAAACGATTGCGTTAGCTGCAAGAAATAACAATGTACTTCCATATATTTGTTAATTATAACTGTTACTTTCTTTTATTTCTACTTAAACATTGTACTTTGAAACTTCTAAATAAGTATAGTAGTGTCATCCAAATACATTGCAATTTTCAGTGCTATGATTGTGTAAAAGTTTCAAAGTACATTGCTATAATTGGATAGATTTTTCCATCAATACTTTGTAAAATTTTACTCTTACTACGAAATTGTGATTTGAAAGATATACAAAATTATAGAAATGAGATGCATATACAAATGAATTTCCACCGCTATAATTTTGAAGATTTTCATAGTATAAAGCTATAACTAGGTGAATTTTTTAAAGTAAAATTTTAGTACAATGCTTTAATATTAAAAAAAAATTGCTAGAATAAACAAGTAAGTGAGAATAAGTTGTTATTTCTTACATATAGACTCTAAAAAGGAAATTTTAATATATACACAAATAGCTAAATACATTGTTCAAACAAAAACATCTCTATGTTAAAATCAATATGATAATAACCAAAATATGGAATCTTCAAAATGAGTGTTTGACATGTATGAAGCTTAGGTGCAATCCTAACATATTTATGATCATTTTTAATTTGTATGTTTTGTAGGGAAGACGACAACAATTATTATTTCCATTATTAGTATTGTGGTGGTTTTGGTTGTTGCTTTGACGATTGCTTTATACATCAGAAGACGCAGATATATACAGCAGAGGAGAAGAGGTACAAATCATTCAACATAATTTAAATATATTCTTTAGTGCCAACTATAAAGCAGGTTGGTGGATTTGTTAAAACAACCCTAATAATTTATAACTCCTTCAGGCTCTTATGATTCTGAGAAATTGGCTAAGATTCTCACTGACAGTAGCTTAAACTTCAAATACTCCACAATTGAGAAAGCCACAACAAATTGGGATGAGTCTAACAAGCTTGGACAAGGAGGATTTGGAACTGTCTACAAGGTACTGATTTTGGCATGCATTGGATTGAAACTCAGACTGTCGTTTCCTTCATAACAAATAGCCCCCCATGTTTTAGTTTATCATAGACCTTTTTATCAAACTAATGTCGGCAGTGAAAATTTCACTTAGGGGGTACTTTCAGATGGAAGAGAAATAGCTGTGAAGAGGCTCTATGTCAACAACAAACTCAGGGCAGCTGATTTCTACAACGAAGTTAACATAATTAGTAGTGTTGAACACAAAAACCTCGTGAGGCTTTTAGGATGCAGTTGTTCAGGACCCGAAAGCATTCTTATATATGAATATCTTCCCAACATGAGCCTCGACCTCTTTATTTTTGGTATGTTCTTAAATTTCCAATATCTAGAATTCAAGATGTATTTATGAATATGTGAACATTTCTACAGATGCAATAAAAGGAAAGAAACTAAACTGGGAGAAGAGGTTTCAAATCATTATTGGCACAGCAGAAGGCCTAGTGTACCTTCATGAGAATAGCAAGACCCGAATTATTCATAGGGATATCAAAGCTTCTAACATCTTGTTAGACGTGAGACTTCGTGCTAAAATAGCTGATTTTGGATTGGCCAGATCTTTTCAAGATGATAAAAGTCACATCAGCACTGCCATAGCAGGAACACTGTAAGTCATTCTTTTTGTATCAAGTAAAAAACAAACATCCATATACTTCTTACAAGATTAAGTATTGTTTGATTAAATAAAAAAGAAACATTTTCTCTTTTAGTTTACTTTAGATATAAAAAGTACTAAAATAACATATTAATTTTTATTTCCTTTTCACCAGTGGATATATGGCTCCAGAGTATCTGGCCTATGGTCAGTTAACAGAAAAGGTAGACGTCTATAGCTTCGGTATTTTACTTCTGGAAATAGTCACAGGATTGGAAAGCAACAAAAGCAATGCACTAGAATATACCGACAACCTAGTCTCTACTGTAAGTAAAAAATCTTCACATGATACATAAAGTATTTTTCTCATCATAAAACCGTAAAGAAGTAATATTAAAAAATATATAAAATGTCATCATAGAATTGGTCCCCATAATTTACAGAATTGGTCCCTATATTGATAGGAAAATTACAGAAACTATCCCTATCATAATATTTACATAAGCACCTTTGAAATTAGTTTTACAGAAATGGTCTCTAAAATTGACAAAAATGGTCCCATAATTTACTCTTATGAAAGTTACAGAAATAGTCCCTATATTTCACTAAACTATAGAAAATAGACCCTAATAGTAAAGTTACAAAGATCCCTTTGTTTCTTAAAAATTTAAAAATATCCCCTATATTTTACAAAAGTATAGAAATGGTCATTGTATTTCACAAAATTATAGAAAATGTTCCTATGTTTCACAAAATTATAGAAATGATCCCTATTTAATAACGAATTGCCATAAATGATCCATATGTTTCATAAAGTTACAAAACTGATTCCCAACTAATAGCCAAATTACATAATTTGTGGATGAATAGGCATGGGAGCTCTTCCAGAAAGGTACAGTGGAGCAAATCTTTGACCCGAACCTCTCGATGGATGTTCACCCAAACACCGTTTTCAAAAAAGTCGCTATAAAAGTGGTACATGTAGGACTTCTTTGCACCCAAGAAGCTCCATCTTTAAGGCCAACAATGTCAACTGTACTAAGAATGTTGGCAAAAGAGGATGAACATTTACCCCTCCCTTCTAATCCCCCTTTCGCAGACGAAAAAACCATGGAACTCAACAACATTACACAAAAGTTGCTTCATGATCACGAGGGAGAAAGCTCTTATTCAGTTGCTACAGTTTCTCATAGTGAGTTCTATCCGAGGTAACGGCAGTGATCTATTTTTGATAATGAGGTCATTTACGTCATTTGTGTAGACAAAAGATCAAGAGAGAGCCATGTACTCACACCCCACCTTTTTGGGTAGGAAAAAATGGAACACATGTCCCATTAACATCAATTTAAAGCAAGACAAACACAGTACAACATATTCTATCATATCTCATGATATCAGTGTGGGTCACTATGAAATCACCAGTACGGTCCCTAGTCTCAACATTTTGATATCATGAACAAAGGGCAAATTTTTTTGTAGGATTATTTCTGGATTTTATGTATTTTAGTTAGGTAAGTTGTTTATTTTATTGGTAGGTTATAATTTTGTGTATAAAATAGCAAAGTAGGTTTTCCTAATAAACATAATTTCAAATAAATGAAGCAAAATGCATGTACCTAAGAGTTTTAATAGCAAATTAAGCCTTTTTATTACAAATCTCTTGTGATGAAAACAAATAATTAGCAACATTTATGAGCTTGCTTTATCGTGTAGCAACCAAGTTGCCCATGAGTCCTCCACTAATTTCATAATGTTTAGCACTTGAAAAACCTGATTCCAATGCAAGATGCTCCAATTCCTCACCTGTTTGTAAAATAATATGCAAATTATATTAAAAAAAAAAAACAAATATCTATTAGGTTAAATACAACAAATAGCTACATACTTTCATTTAATTGTTCATTATATTATAGCACCCTACTTCCATTTCTTCTTATTACATGACTACATTTCAAGAAATCTACCTAATTATAGCAATGACATCTAAAGATTTTTCAAACTACAATAACCTAATAAAAAAATTTAAGTACAATGCCTTACAAACGAAATTACTTCGATATTTCTTGCATCTTGTCTAACTCTATGTAATATTTTCATTTTGTGGGTCTCATCTATATGTCAAAAGAATATGCACATGTTGTCAGAATACAACAATAAGAAACAAACCTGTTAAAAATTCTTGAATTGAGCTCTTTAGATATCGATACTCCTGTGTAAGACCATATCCAGCTGCTACAGGCACAACTATATTGTCTATCATCCATCCCTATCACAAAGATCCAAAATTTATTAATAAAATGGATTAAATTGTTTTTATCTACAGGTTTATTTATTAAAAGTAGTTCCACATTTTTTAAACAAACCTGAATAGATGTTCTAAATTCATCAGTGGTTTTATTGAAGTCAAGTATTGATGCTTTAGAACCTGGTTTTAAAACTCGATAAACCTCCTTCATTGCCTTATATTTATCAACTACATTTCGTAGCCCATATCCAATAGTAATTGCATCAAAATAACAATCAGGATATGGCAAATCAACTGCATCACCTTCCACCCACCTATAAAGACATAACATAATTACCAAATTAGCCCTGAAACCCAAAAAATTAAAAAACACAAATTCTCTATTACAATTTACCAATACATACAAACGAGAGCTAGATATACCAATGCTCACTTAAGATTACAATAGCAGGCTTTTGCACGTAATTGTTGTCTCTTTGAAGCGACAATTAGTTGTTCTCTTGAGAAATCAAGGCCAGTAACCTATAAATTGTGGGAATAAATGAAGATATAATGGTCATTAGTTTTCTTATAAAAGTTTCTTTTTGGAAAAAATTATGAGCAAAGGCAAGAGAGAAGAAGGGGAAAGAGTGAAAAACAAACCTGACCATTGAGTCCAACCTTTTGAGACAATAGAAACGCCAAATCCCCACTTCCACAACACAAATCCAACACATTATTCCCTTCTTTTGCCCTATCATTTCAAATCGATATTTATAGCGAAATTTTTTCTGATACTGGAACAGAATGTGGGTAAATCGAAAAATCGAAAGAGAAGTTGAGGGATTTAATGGTTACCCACTCCAATTAACTGCCATTCGTTTCCATATGCGATGTTGCCCCAAACTCAACACGTCATTCAACTGTGTAAATGTAATCGCATATGTAAGAAATTAGGTTGGGAGATAAATTTTTAAAATTGGGGGGAGAAAGATGAAACTTTTTTGGTGTACGTTATCGTAGACAGGTGCGATGCGGCTGAAGAGAGCTTGGCGGTCGGCGGAGGAGCGAATTTGCTGCCGTCGTCTCGTGGGTGGTCCGGCTACCGGAGCAAATGAGAATTGAAGCACTGTAGCCAATGCCATACTCACATTGTGGAATTATCTATTGGTTGCTTTTAGGATAACGTTTCCCTCGAAACTCTACGGAGTATTCCGTAATTTAAAGTTTTTATTATTATTTTGTCTCTTTCATTTTTTCATTTTTTTTTTGTTATATATATATATATATATATAATATATATATATATATATATATATATATATATATATATATATATATATATATATATATATATATATACACACACGTCTATCCGCGCAAAGCGGCAGGGTAAAATAATTTCTAAAAGTTTTATTTGGACGACCGGATGTAGTTAGGTTTTGTTATTTGTTTCCTTTTTGCAAACATGTAATATTCCAATGAGTCAATAAACATGTAGAGTATTAACAAATATAATTTGTGATTAGACTATATATCTATAATGTATATTGTTATTTTAAGTTAAAAATAAAAAAATACCTTGTTATTTTTAGTTAAAAATAAAAAAACATTACTCTTTTGCTATAAAAATCAATGTATGTTGTTTGGTTAATAATAAAAATATGTTTTTTGGTGATAAAAAAATATATTTTGTTTTGTTAGGTTAGAAAAAATTCGAGTTTTGGATTAAATGTTAGTATTTTTACTATTTTTGTTTAAAAATAACAATATATTCTTTTGATTAAAAATAAATATATAATGTTGTTTTGGATTTACAATTAAAAGTATTGTATATTGCAAAATCTAAAAATAGTTTCATTTCTATGAATAGTTTTTTTTACCAATATTTACATTTTGATGATTAGGGTTGTTGATTAGGAGGAGGGGGGAGGTATGAAGGGTTTGCAACAAAATTTGAAGGCATTTGGATTAGACCCAGACCTAGAACTGGACCGATATTGGTTTTATATAGTTGGGTCAGTTATTGGTTCTTGGATTGTTAATTTTTTGCTACTAATTTTACATGCCTGCCCAAGATGGCGATGAAGAGTAGTTGTCAAAATAAATAGAATCGACCATATCAATGTCAATATAAAATAAATAGATTAGTTGTCAAAATTGTTTTCTCTTAAGCAAAAGAACCATAATGCATTTTTATATGTAATAAATCATATATCCACATGGTTCCACTTTCCCTTGTGACTTGTGTGCTTTAAAGTTGTTTAACGTGCAACTTTATCACAAGTCTTTTAAATGAATACAAAACTCATCAACAAAAAAATTCTTCTATATCGTCAAAACAAAGTCATCCATGCGGCTGTTGCATGTAATATATTTCTTGCAACATAAATCAATCATTTTTTACCTGCAAAGGCCAAAAAAAATAGAATTTGTTCAACCCCACAAGAAGCAAAGGAAATATATGTAAAGATGGAATAAGTAAAAACAACACACACAAGAAGCAAGGGAGATGTATTAGAGATTAAGGTAACAAAAACAAGTAGCTGAACATCAATAACAACAAAAATAACATCAAATGATACAAGGGTGGATATAGAGTTTGATAAACTGTTAAAGCCTTGATAATACTTCCTACTGCAAGTCTCGGGCAAAATGTTACCACTCAAATAAACACATTGTCATTACCAAAAATGAAAAATAACCAAAAAAAAAAAAAAAAAACAATTTCAAGATCATACCTCCATCACTCCCTTCTTCCTCTTCTAGAATTGGCACTAGTGTGTGTGTGAGCATAAGTGTGAGTCGATTTCTATATTGTTCTTATTCTCTCAAGAGCTTCCAACTTATTTTGGTGATTTGTGACACCACTTGAGGCATCCATAGTATTGGTGCTAGGCTTATAAACTCCAACCAATCAACCACAAAAGAAAGGTATGTTATTCTACTTGAAGTTTTGGATTACAAGTACCCCATAACATGCTAGTTATGTTGAAAACCTTGTAAATCAAATTTGCATTTATTTTAGAGAAAACATAGATCGAAGGTTTCTAGGGTTGCATGTACACCATAGGAGTGTTAGTATGCTCAAAACCCAACAGTGGTATCAGAGCCTAGGCTTGTTTTCTTGATACTTGATGCAAACTTGTTGAAAAAGCTCAAAAATCCACTATCTGTTGCATGAACTCACCGAGTCCATGGGGGGACTCAAAGAGGCCATGTGATATTTCATCCTACTCGTCGAGTAGGTTCTGGCACTCGACGAGTAGGAGCCCCTGAATGCATATTTTCGAGTTTTGCTGCTGGAAATGGACTATAAACATCACCCTAAACTGTTTTGGTGTTTTAAAACTTGTTTTAGATGGTGTAACGTTTATGCTAATCTATTTACAATGGCTAATATCAAAATTACATGTTTTATATGTGTTGATATGATTCTTGAAATTTTGATATGAATGGTTATGTTCTTATGAGTTTTTTAGAGTATCATAGGAATTATGTATTATTTGCTTGTAGTATAATTCTTGATCTCAATGGCTAATGATGGAGTCCATAACTTGTCCTCAAGTTATGGATAACCAAAATTCACTTCTTTAAAAGTGTCATTAAAGAATAAGATGTTACATAAAATGAAGAGTCTTCATTTTAATGGACCATTAAAACTCATAAGTTATGAATTGAGGAGTCTTGAATAGTTTCAAAACTTGCCCTCAAGTCTTGGAATTTGTGAAGTCACACACATTAATACTTTAATTCCAAATAGATCCTTAGAATTTTTAAAGTTCAAAATTAAACCCTTATACTTCTATAATATTGAAAGTTTAATTATTATTATTATTATTATTATTATTATTATTATTATTATTATTATTATTATTATTATTATTATTATTATTATTATTATTATATATATATATATATATATATATATATATATATATATATATATATATATATATATATATAAGAATAAGCCAGTCATACCGTTAGTAGGCCTCATTCACGAAGCCGATCTATAAGGGGGTATAAGGTTACTGCCTATAATATGGCAGTTTAATGGGTTTCCACTCACACCCACCGCTTCCTTAACTGGTGGAGGGTCGTTAGCCGAACGGGTAGGATAGGACCTAAGTCCTTATTAAAAGTATAATGAAATTCTAAACTAACTAACCCTTTATAAATTCCCATTCTTAGTTACTTTAGGAAAATGTGAAATAGGTGCTAACCCATGAAATTACACTTTGTACCTTACCAAGTCGTTAATGGAGCGTGTGTGGTTAACCGGTACACT